AAATATATATATATATATATATATATATAACATAAATTTAAGATTTTACAAGTATCATAAAATATATATATATATATATAACATAAATTTAAGATTTTACAAGTATCATAAAATATATATATATATATATAACAAATTTAAGATTTTACAAGTATCATATATATATATATAACAAATTTAAGATTTTACAAGTATCATATATATATATATATACATAACATAAATTTAAGATTTTACAAGTATCAGAATATATATATATATATACATAACATAAATTTAAGATTTTATAAGTATCATATATATATATATATATATATATAGAAAAAGTTTCAAATTAAAAATTATAATGTTTTATTTTATGAAAGTATTTATTTATTTATATATATATTTGATATTTCAAATTGTCCTCAATTTTCATCAGAAATAACTGTTTGTTACAAATAAATTAAAATTACTGTTTGTTGGCAAATGGCGTCCTTGAGAGACGCGGATCACGTGATATGGAACGTCACTGTTCAGATATTCCTAACTTAAATCTAACTGTCATAAATATTTAAAAAAATATTTTTTTTACTATATCTAAAGAAATTGCTTAGCTATTGAAATATTTATAAAGATTTAAAACACCTAAGTCCCTATTCAACCCTAATTTATGTGTATTTAATTTTAAAATCCAATATGTTTTTTTTTTTCTGCGTGTGAATGTAGAAGTAAAATGGAATCTATTAATAAACATTTGCAGTTTTCTAATGTGTGTCCTGATTGATTGTAGTGTTTAGCTATGGGGGAATAAGGGTTGTTTTGACGTATTGTTTGTTTATGGTTATTAAAACGAAATCTAAAATTGTTTCAGACTCACCAATATATCCACTATTAGGACATAAGTTGCAGAATAAATAATAGATTACGTTATGGGTATCGCAGGTGAGGTTAGGTGGCTGTATCCTGATATTGGTGTTGGGTACGTAAAATGTATTAGCTATTACTAAATGTTTGCAAACTAAGCAATGAGGTTTGTTACATTTGTAATTTCCTGTTTGGTTTCTATTGTTTAGATATTTGGTAGAGGTGAGGATAGCTGATAAGTTAGGTGATTGTTTCATTGCATTTATGGGTGGTTTATCGAAAATGTCTTTGATCTTGTTGTTCAATTGAGGTTCTTGTAATCATTTTTAATTTATGAATAAGTGTGGGAATATTGATTTTGATTTAAAAACCATGGGAATCCGATTGTTGTTTTTATTTTTCTTGTATGTGAGAAGTGTGTTACGATTTATCAGGATAGTTTTTATTTAGTGCTTCTTTTATTATTTTTATTGGGTATTTGCATTTTAGGAATTGTTTTGTTAAGTTATTAATATTGTATAGAAAATCTAAATGGTCTGAGCATATGCGTTTGGTTCTAAGAAATGAGCTGTATACAATAGATTTTTTTTAATTTAAAGGGATGACAGCTGTTAAAGTGCAGGAATTTATGTTGGTTTGTGGGTTTGTTGTATAGACTGGTAGAAAGTGTATGTTTGTTTAATTTTATCATAACGTCTAAGAAAGGGATGGATGTATGAGTGCTCCATGGTAAATTTAATTGTATCGTGGAAATTGTTGCAGAAAGTGAAAAAGGTTTTTAATTTTCTGATCCATGAGTCCATAATAAGAAAATGTCATCAATATATCTAAAGTAATGTGATGGTTTATATTCCGAATTGTCTAGTATCTTTTTTTTCTAGAATGTGCATAAAGATATTAGCATAACTAGGTGCCATTTTTGTGCCCATTGCTGTGCCACTAATCTGTAAATAGTGTTTGTTGTTGTATTTAAAATTATTATGTGTTAAGATGAACTTTATTAATTGGCATATATCTGTAATTTGGTAGTTAGGTAATTTTTTGTTACTAAGGAACTCATAGCAAGCTGATACTCCTTCAACATGTGGAATGTTCGTGTGTAAAGGGACGAAACATCCATCGTTACTAGGATTGTATCATGGGACTAAGTTAATGTTTTGTAATTTGCTGAGAAAGTCAGTAGTGTCTCTAATATAACTAGGTATGTCAGGCAATAAAGGTTTTAGGATATTGTCTATGTACCCAGATATAAGTTCTGTGAGGGTGCCAATGCCTGATATTATGGGTCTACCAGGTGGCATGATTTTAAGGTTTTTGAAATTTCATAGATGTTCTCTTCATTATTTGATTGTGTAATTTGATGTGGGTCGGATGAAAAAGTGTTAGGGTGTTTTTCTGAAATGATTTTGGGGAGTTTATGTAGTTTTGGGATAGTGTAGAATGTTGCTGTTTTAGGTTCTCAGGAATAAGAGATTTTATGGTATTTTTATGTTGTAGTTCTGGTTCTGAGTGATAAGTGATAATTCTGTTTTGAATGTGCTAGTTGGGTCTAGAGGTAAGGGTACATAGAATCTGTTATTTTGAAGTTGTGATTCTGCTTTAATGTAGTGGTTAGTGTCTAAGATGGTTATAGCTCCGCCCTTGTCGGCTGGTACGATAATTATGTCTCGGTTGTTTTTAAGAGTATAGATGGCTTGGTGTTCTATTTTGGATAAGTTGTATTTTTTATCTGGTGTCCTTTGTTTTTAAGAAGTAATCCATGTGTTGTCTGGCTTTGTGGGCATATTGATCCAAGTGTTGGTTACTATCTCGGCTTGGTGGGGTCCATATATTGTTCTTCGTCGAGGAAGTTTGGAGCATGATTGGTTAGCGCTGTTGTCTGTATTAGAAGTAGGTTTGTTGTCTGAGAAATATTTTTTTAGTCTCAGTCTCTACGGAAGGTATTTTTCCATATCGTAGCAAAGGTTTAGAGGTTTTAGTGGTTGTGAGGGGCAGAATGATAATCCTTTATTTAATAAAGAGGTTTCTCCTTGGGTGATTATATATAATTTTTGAAAGTATTTTTCTGACTTTATCTGATTTCTTATTACAGTAAACAGCATTTTTCAATTGATACATGAGTTTGAGTTGCTATCCCGGTTTTTACATTTTATTAAACACTGAAATTAATGATTAAAGTTAGAAGTTCTGTTAAAGAAAAATTGTATTTATATCTGAATTTATTTATATATATATATATAGAGAGAGAGAGATGTGTGTGGTGAGGTGTAATGGATATTCACTCAGAATGAGAAACTGGAGAGTCAAGTTTGAATTCTGGTTGAGTTCATTATACTCACTTCCATGCAAAAACTCTTGGGTTGATTAGCAGAACAAACTGGGTCCTATCGTCTTGGTTGGCAACCAGTCTACCACAGAAAGAAATGGTAAACTACTGTGGGAAAATATTCTGCCTAGTCAATCATGAATTGAAAGAGACATGATCACCCAAGGATGTATCATGTATGGCACTTAACCTTATATATATATATATATATATATATATATACATATTTACATATGCTCTATCTCTGATATTGATCACTTTATTCTATAAATATAGCATACCTTAAAACTATATTTCTTCAAATATATATATATATATATGGCTGAGGCTTGCATTGTAAAATCTGAAAATCAATTAGCATATTTATACGTTAGTTTGACAAATTATTTTTGCATGACTTTAAAATATATAAAAATGAAATAGCGAAGTATTAAGAATCAGGTTTGTTAAAAAGATTTTTTTTTTCTGAAGCAAAATGATATTCATAGATCTTTTGAAAAATGATAATAGTGAGTGTTTCTTTTTTCCGTTATGTGCAACCTACTATTTGGGTACTTACAACGCTTAAATGACTTCCTCGAGAAAAGTTTAAAAAATAGTAGAGAAACATGTTCTTTATTTCTATGTAGATTTATTTTAAGTGGCTTCTCTGCCTTGAAGGTTTATTAGGTCTAAAGCACACTCCTGACTTTAAATGGAACGTGTATGTTTTGGCCATCACAAAAGCTGCTGGAAGAATGGCTGATTCTTTGTATCACTCCAGAAACTACATAACTCCTTCTGCTCTGCTCTATCACTACAACAGTCAGATTAGGCCACAAGTATTGCTGCCATATTTGGGCTAGTGCTACATAGTCTTCCCTGTCCAGCCTTGACAGAGTTCAAAAGTAATTATGCAACCTTGTGAGTGATGTATTATTATTCAGCCTGTAACACTTATCCTGCCGAAATAATTTTGCTAGCCTCCCACGACTCTATTGCTCTTTCTATTGTAAATATTCAAATGAGTTACATTCTTAAATCCCACCACCTTAGATCTTCATAGCTAGCACCTGGCATACCATGTTCATTGTGGCATTTTGAATGTCAAAATTAAACCAATCTAAATCTTTGGCTGATGAAGGGAATAAAACTCCCAGAACTTTTACCAACATTCAAGAATTAAAAGGAAAATCTTAAGACTAAAGAGCTAAGAAACATCTGTTTGCATACTTCTAAAATCCTAGTATACTCATAAAATTTAGAAAGGACTTAATATGAGAATTTAGGATTGGATTCTTTCGACCCAAACAAAAGGGAAAAACTGGTCAGTTGTTGAGAGCATTTTCGTATAAAATCTGCACTTAATCAAGAAATGAGTTTGCTTTGAGAATACTGTGTTACTTGCTCTTTTCTCTCTGGAAGGATAATTTTAATGTTTTCTCATGGTGAAATAATTCTACAATAAACATTCAGTTTTAGATTGCTGAAAAGAACTCTTAAAAAAGAGAAACAAAGAAATAGACAAAAAATGGAAGAAAATAAAGAAATAAAGATGGGGAAAGAAATTGTGTCTCCATTCGTTTTGAAAATGAAGTTTTGTGGTCTTTGTACGACCATGAATGCAGCATACAAGGCGTTAAATAAGTGAAAATAATGGCCCTAATATATTCTTGAAGAGTGTCAGCAGAAAGTAATCAGAAGAGAGAAAAAGGTAAAATGGAACATTTCTTAGTTCCTGTTTTTGCTGCTTTCTTTTCTCTTCTGTTTCCCAGGTTCCCTCCTTGTACTCACTTTTTATTTATTTATTTTTATTTTTTAGTTCTTCATTTTACGGTTGGGAACCGAGTCAAATTAATGCACACAATTCATGAAAAACATAGGAGGAAAAACTAAATGAAGAAATGGAGATAGCAAAAGAATTTAGAAAGAAAAAAATTTTTAAAATGTAAAAAGAAGTTAGGTATGTACACTTTTCTCTTACTCTACATAAGAGAAAATGAGTTAAACAAAAAAGAAGCTGAAAAGAAAGAAAGAAAGAAACGAGCATGAAGTGATGAAAATATGAAAGGTTGAAATAAAAAGAAAGAAATGTCAATAAAGAGGCAAATAAAAGGAAAATAAAGAAAGAGTATGAATGGATGAAGAAAAAGTAAAAGTAAGTAATGAAAGAGGTAAATAAAACTGAAAATAAACTAAAGAGAAAAAGAGAGCACAAAAAAATGAAGACAATGAAAAAGTGAATAGTGAATGAAAAGAAAATAAAGTGTAAGAGAGAGAGAAAAATCTGAAAAAAATGATAATATGAATGAAGAATAAAAGGAAAATAAAGAGAAAGAGTAACCAAGAAAGAAAAAAAGATAAAAATGAATAGTGATTAGAAAACGGAAAAAAAAGGAGAAAAAGAGGAAGAAAAAAAAGAACAACGAAAGAAATGAAAATGAAAAAATGATTTAAAAAAAAAAAAGTAAAACATTTTTTTTAGCAAATACAACAAAATGCTATACTTTATTGTGAAAAAATATTTCTCCTGAACTAAATATGCAAAAATATGTCCTCTCTATCTGTGAGTCTTAGTCTCTTGCTCTAACCACTTTCTTCTTCAAAATACAAATAAATTCACAAATAAATAGATGGTAGAATTATGTACAATTCCCCTGTAAATATCAGAAACACCAAAAAATAAATAAAAGTAAAAAAAAAGTTTGTGAATTTACATAATTGCTACTATCTTCTTACTGTCTGCTTCTTTGTCATCTTTTATAGGAATCTGTAGCCAAGTGCTATGTCAAGGGTGGGTATGTTGCAAAGAAAAAAAAATAAAGACTTGCGTATCTATGTGTACAAGTATATTGTGGAGGTTTTGAATGTATATGACAGTGAATATTGATGTCAGTGTCGGAAAAAGGGCGTATTTAATTGCGTGTATGTTGTTACTAATATAAAAAGACAAGGGAAAAGAAAATTGTGAGCAGGAGAATGTTGGCTTGTTGGGGACTGCCATGCGAACATCTTGGGTACAGACACTCAAGAAAGACGTTGCATAATTTGACTGCTGATGGAAAAAGCTGAACAAGAAGAGAAGACGACACTGAGTCTCCGAAACAGGACTAGGGAGAGAAAAGACAAGAAAAGGAAACATAATCGCATTGTTTAATTTTGCAGAAAAGGTGTGTGTTGTTGTATGGGAATGTGTGATTGTATCTTAAAACTCTTTTTTGTTCCATGAACGCTAAATGTGACACGAAGCTGGTGACAATAAAATGCCTGATTGTGACAAGAAAAAAGAGAGAATAAATAAACAAATCTAAAAACTAATTGATTTATAAACTTAAAATAAATAAAATTTGTAGAAGATGAAAATAAAGAAAATATGGCCACAAAAACCATCATAAGAACATAAATAAAAAAAACAAACAAAAATAAATAAAATAATAAAATTAAAACAAACAAATAAATATTAATAGAAAATAAATGAAAAATTAATTACTACCAATATAAATTAAGATTAAACAATCAAAATTAAATCAGATTTTTTTTTTTTTTTTTTAAATAATAAAAAAAAACGTATGGTAATCAATAACAATAAAAAAATTGTAGAAACAGGAAACATCAGCAGCAGCTCACACTTTGCCCCTGAACATGGTCACATGTTTACCAAAATCATGGTTGGAGACATGATGGGTAAAGAATAACATATGTGCAAAAGTTTAAAGGACCTTTGTATCTCTAACCATTAGTACTTATTAAAGTATAATTCATTAGACTATGAAACTGCATTAGGTTAGGTAAGTATAGTCAGTTATGTGCCATGCGTGATACATGCTTAAACGATCATGTGATTCAGTCACTTTCTCATTGCTTTAATGTAACTTTCCTGTGCTTTTCTATAAATATTTTCATGGTAATTATTCTGATGAACTTTCATCTATGATATTTTTTCTTTAAGTTTAATTCCCCATCCCCTCCCTCGTTATGTGGTCAGTGATGTCAGTTCGCTGGTGGATGCGGGGCGCCTTTCGTTTCGCGTGAGTAGTTTTTTCGTATTTGTTGTCGTGTCTGAATGAGTGCATGTCAGTGTAAGTGCTTGGGAGGTATGAATGGTTTACACTATTATAGTCCCGCATTGATTTCAGCCAGTGAAGTGATGTTTCTGTCACATTTAGTGATTGTGGGGGGCTTTTATTACTAATCTTATTTTCTTTAGTTCTTGTAAATAGTTTTTTGTATTCATATTGTAAATACTCATTGGGGTTAACTTTTAGCATTGTTGTTTTATTCAACTCCCCCCCCCACAGACAACAAATTGTAAATATGGGGACTAGTTAGTTTTTTTTTTCATAGAGACAAAGAGGTATTATGGTGGTTGTAGTAAGAAAGGTACGTATGAATGTGTTGTTTTGGTGTAAGGAATATTGTTTTGTACGATTGAGTCAGTGTTTGCGGCTAGCTAAGTTATAGTTAAGACAGAAGAAGACTGTCCTTTCCCCAATCCCCTTTTCGGCCTTGTGCCACATTTCTGTATTGTACAGAATAAATATTACTTTCCTCTATGATACCTAGACTTTATGAATTTAAGTGCAATACTAGTTGAAATGGTTAGATGTATCCGTAAGTTTTATGCTAACAGTTTCCTATATCCCACTTCTCGCTTGTCAAACACTCTTCTGGCTTCTTGTTTCCCAGTCAACTTTAATCTTCAAAATTTTAGATGCAATGTCAATCATTCTGTCTTCTTAATTTTAGTTCTTTTATTGTTCCCTCTACTTAATAGTAGTTTTTTCTCATATTCCCTAGCACTCCATAACCCCTTGGATCTTAGTGGCTTTATTGCTTTGCTTAAGTGAAATGATTTGTAAAAAAAAACAATTGTTGGAGGGTAGGCAACAAAACGGGCACACAAACTCTAATTTATTGCAGCTAGTTAGTACTTAGCAAACCTCTAGGATGAAAAATAGACGTATCTAAGGGTGGAAGAACTCTTGATGAACCAACGGCCAGCTAACTGGAAGTAGAATCTCAATAAAATCACCATGGAGAAGGTAACAGGAAACCACTCCACTATCATTCCCAAGAACATTCATGACTCTCAACAATTAGGATAACAACAAATCATAAACAAGGAAAAGAGGATTTGTAAGATTGTAAGTGTGACTATAACTACATAATGACTGGAACTACTATGATAAAACTACATAATACATGATGATATATGATAAATGATGATGGAACTACATGTTGATACATGATGACTAGAACTGCATGATGATACATGATGATGGAACTACATGATGATACATGATCATAGAAGTATATGATGATAAATGATGATGGAACTACATTATGATACATGATGATACATGATGACTGGAACTACATGATGTTACATGATGACTACAACTACATGATGATACATGATGATAGAAGTATATGATGATAAATGATGATGGAACTACATTATGATACATGATGACTAGAACTCCATGTTGATACATGATGACTAGAACTACATGATGATACATGATGATAGAAGTATATAATGATAAATGATGACTGGAACTACATGATGTTACATGTTGACAATTAAACAAACACAGAATTAGGAAAACAGAGGAAACAGAGAAAAATAAGTTTACAGTTAGAGTTGCACCTATGGTAATTGCAGACTTGGAATTATATCAAAAGCCTGGATGAAAAAGAAGTCAAGAGAAGAATTGAAAAAGTCTAGATCATGGTACTGCTTTGGTCTGCAACGATATTGAGAAACAGTACCAGTGATTTGAGAAAATTTATTGTCACTCACTCTTCATTGACAACTGCCAAACATTGGTGTGAATGGGCAGAAAAACAAGAAGAAATAATGGTACGAACTCAATATGTACAGGGTGTCCCTAAAGTCTGAACACATAGAAAATCTCAGTAGCTATATTTTTTTACCTTCACAGATTAAACATGGTTTTGTCATAAGAAGAAAGAATTGACTTCTTTTTCTGGGGCATGCTAAATGAGAATATGTACTCAATGAAAATCCCAGATTCAAAACACTTGACTGTACACAAAAAAAGTGAATGTGCTAAAATTGACAGCAATGTGGATTTCTTGCATTGAGTTCATGTGAATCTTCCAAAGTACACCAACCGTTGCTTCACAAATGATGGAAATCATATTGAAGGTGTTATTTTTTAATATTCCAATTTAAATAAATGTTGAAAATTTTATTACTTGAAAATATGCATTTTTATCTGTGCGTCCAGACTTTATGGACACCCTGTAGATTATGTGCACAATTATGTGTTGGCCATCTTAGTGTCTGATTCTTTAATTCTGACATTGAAGGAATATGAAGATCAATATAATGAAATTGGGCAGTATATTCCTTAGACGATGTTGTCTATAATTAATCTATTTTATAAAAGAAAAAATTCAACCTGAATCAGTCATATAAGGATATGAAGTTACATGGGACTTTAGCATTCATACTGATATATATATATATATATATATATATATATATATATATATAAAGTATATGACAGAATTAGTAAATAAGGATCTTGAAATTGAACAAGAAATGTGGCACATTAAAACTAATGTTTTACTTATAATAATTGGAGCCCTGATCAAGAAATGTACAGACAACCATATTCACAAGATTGCTGGCAGACTCTGTTTACAAGAGATTAAAAAAAAATACACCATGCAGAACTGCTCATGAACTCAGGAGATTATTATCGAGGGAGTGGTGGAATTATAAACACTGTATGTGTGTCACCTAACATCAATGTTTGTGCAAACAGAATGCATCAGTGTTTGTGCAAACAGAATCCATCTATCTATCTATCTATCTATATATATATATATATATATATATATAGATGCATCTATCTATCTATCTATCTATCTATCTATATGTATATATATATATATATAGATAGATAGATAGATGGCATCTGTTTGCACAAACACTGATGTTAAGCGTGTCACTTAACATCAGTGTTTGTGCAAACAGAATGCATCTATCTATCTATCTATCTATCTATCTATCTAAGTAATGGCTAAGTAAGGGACTGAGAAGAAGTAGTTTGGAAGAGGATCATTATTATTATTGTTAATAATATTAATGAATGAGACACAGTGAAGCTAGATTAAAATGAAAGAAAAGAACAAAACAGAATATCTTAAATGACAGAAATTTGGTAAAAGTGATTATCACACAGGTAGTACGAAGAACAAGATACACAGGGCCCCCTTAGACTGAATTGAAAGGAAGTTTAAATCAATGGATCCATGAACCAGGAAACTAATGACCAGTTTCTGTGTCCTTTGGATGAGACTGACAGATAGTTTTTTGAAAAAAAAAAAAAAAAGTAATATAATAAAGGACTCATTAGTCACAAAGAATGTGTTCATTCAGGTTGTAGGAAAAATAGGATAAATATAAACATGGCTTATAAAAACACAAGCCATAAACAAGTAATACCTTATCATTTCAACCCTGAATAAATGCATCAAGATTAATTACACCTAATTATTCCTAAATGATGTTCACTCGTGTATAATACGCCTTCATAACTTTGAGCTTTGACATTTGGGGAAAAAATGCCACTGGTGTCTAATTCGCACTGAAATGTTAAAATTTATAGCAACTAAATTTAACCTGTGTTTAAGTTTATCAGGTTTGTACTGGTTGTGTTAACAAATCACTGAATATGAATTAAAGAAAGCAGCAAATGTTATTGAAAAAAATGCTAGGATATCACCTGAGAGACAAGGAAAGTTTAGAAGCTGAACGCTAGAGTTCTACTGATAACAGTTGGCATATTCAGACAGTGCCAAATACACAAGAGGTAAGAATGGATGAATTAGGAATTCAATTGTTGAAATGTGCCAAATCACTGCCAAGGGAGAGTGGTATCTCCAAGGATATTGAGAAAGATACTTGAAGAGACTTGATGTCCTGTGGCATTTCCAGTACTTTGGGTATAGCACCCCTTAACCTATTAGAACTCCCTTCCATAAGTGCAACTGAAGTTAAATAATATCAAGCCTGGTCAGTATATATCAGGTGTTGTAAGCTTGGATGTGTGGGTGGTGTAATGCATAACAGCTTGGAATTGGAAATTGGAGAGCTAAGTTTCAATT